GACGGTACTACTGAACGCACAAGATCCATACTCGAATAAGGGAGAGTCTTGGAGAATCTAAGAACTTGGGGAAGAAGATTCTTGAGTATGTTTTGATCTTCCACATGATCGTATTTCAGTTTGGTGATGAGTTTCCAGGAAGGAGGTTTAGGTTCTGGTTCCGGCCCAGGTAAGGGTATTGGGCCGACTAGGGAGTAGATGCGGGAATTCCTCTGGTTGAAATCTACCCGCAGTGCTTTGGAGCAGACTCTTGTGATCTTTGCTTCGATCAAGAGGGGTTTTGGAGATCGTGGATGAGCGTTTGGAAGTGTTCTGTGCTGAGGTTATGGTTATTCTTGGAGCTCACGCTCTTTCTTTCACTGAGTTTCGTGATTGTGGAGCTCCTGCATTCTATGGGGAAAGGGACCCCATTGCCAGTAGGAGGTGGTTAGTGGGTATGGCTAACGCATTCAGGACGAGTATCTGCTCGAGGAGGCGAAGGTCAGATATGCTTCCTGCCTATTGAAGGTCAGTGTCACACCCCCTAACCGAGATGGAGGAAACATTCGGGGGCAGAGGGCGTGATGTACAATATCATAACAATGCACAATAGTAAAACAAGCAACAACATCCATTGCATTAATAGAATAGTTAATACATGTGTGTTCTGAGTATAGTCGTAAGACACCAAAAATGTATATAGCAAAATATAAAAGACGAGTCTTGAACATTCTCCGTCTTCTCAAAAACCTGATCCAGTGTACCTGAATGGAAAATGAAGATTTACAGTAGTATTGTATAAAATACACTACTGATGCATTAACTACCTTGGAAACCGAACTTGTTAATTTAGGTTAAAACGTGATTACGTTATAACCATGCTTGATTGACTAGTATAAAACACGACTTTCTTCAGGCGTCGAAAATGGTATGACATTTGTCACACGTAGACCTGCATGTCCCACTGTAGCTAGCAGCAAGGTGAGGGATGGTCAATCCCGTATAGATCTATACACAAACTCACGCTCTCCCTCCAGGAGACTCTGGTTACAAAACGTGACATAACAAGTACATTGCTATGCCATGAAATAGTATCTCACATTTTAGTTATCTTGTTCTTGTTATAGTATGTAAGTTCCTTTTTGTTCTCGTAAATGAATAGTATACTTTGTAATGAATAGTAATAATATGTATGTATTGACTCATGTATTGTTTCTCTGTTCTAGAAAATAGTATGTATTGATCCTCTAAACTATATCTATTATAGTTTACTAGTATATTTGTTTGAACTGTAAATGATTCGTAGAAAATACTCAATTGACTAATGTTTGCAACTGAGTTAAGTATGTACTTTAAAAAATGGAGTTTAATATTCATGTATAGATTTAGCAAGTATAACTATGATTTAGGCGACAGTTGGACTAGTGATCCTACCCTAAGCCCACAACCAAACAAGGAACAGGAGTCAAGGTGTTTAGCAATAGTCCTAAGTCCGTTAAAGCATACTTATACACAAATATATAAATGAATACGATTTTGATAATAAACAGCAATCTAAAATAGTTTAAAAGAGTTTTTGAAATGATTTTAACAACAATTATAAGCATAAGAAATCCTTTGTTCGTTTGTTTTCACGTGTAAGTGTTAATACAATAAAATGTGTTCTACTTGTATTCTCCCCCTAAAATCATTTAAAAAGGTAAATTGTAGGGGAATGAACTCACCTTAAGTGAGTGATTCGTTTCGATGTTCGATATAGGTTGATTGTTTCCACAAGTTAGATCCCGGGACAAAATCAAGTCCTAAATAGCAATTCACGCGATATGTTGGCATGAAATTAGTGAATATACTCTCAAAGGAGTTAAGGAAACAACCTAGGATGTAAGAATTACTTAAAAAAGAAGTGTTAGAACCGAAATCAAGATGCTGCAAGGTGTTTACGTATGGGCTTCGGTGTGTGTACGACCGTAAACGGTTCACAACTACTTGATGATTCAAGTGTTTTCGGCTGGAAACATGTGTGTGATCTTGGTGTTCTTGGTGAAACTAAGAATATTCAAGGGTTCACCGCTGTAAACCCAGAAATGAGGGGTGTTTGATTGACGACAAGAAGAACACTAGATGTTCTTATCAAGATACAAAGGTGGATTGGATGATCTTCGGATGATAGATGAGAGAATACTTGGGTTTTCAGTTGAAGACTTTGAGACAAAAAGGCTTGAGTTTGCGGCTAGAAATGTAGAAGTGAGGATAATTCAGTCACACACACACACACACACACATATATATATATATATATATATATATATATATATATATATATATATATATATATATATGTATGTATATATAGGTAGAGTTTGCGGTCCGAGGGAGGTTCAAGGCCCGAAGGAGTTCACGGCCGAGAACGAGAGAGATTTACGGCTGCGAAGGCTCGTTTACGGTCCGAACCATTTGTGGTCTGAGAGTTTACGGCTCAACGAAGGTTTGCGGCTCATGCGAGGGTCCTCGGTTTTTGAGTGTTTTAACTTTCAAATTTTCTACAACCCTTTTAACTATGTGTTTTACCATGAAAAGGCTATTAATCTAACCTTGAGATTACTTCAACAGCACAAGTTTGACTTTTATTGGATAAATTTTGACTTTAGTTGACCAAGTTTGACTTTTACAAGAATGGAAATTACGGGTTGTCACATCATCCCCCTGTTAAATGGAATTCCGTCGTGGAATTAAGTCTAAGAGATACACATGGACTAAGGGAAAAGGTGAGGTGTAACATCCCAAACTTCAAGGCCAAAAATTTCATTTTTAAATAAGTTATTATAAAACCATAAGTACAAAAACATATGTAATAACAAATCATGTCAAAATCAAAGTGTCAGTAATCGAAACATGTTTTCATGAAATAATATCAGAGTGTAATCCCAAAGATCTCATGTGTAGAAAACATGGTGTGATGCGCTGCGATCGAGCCGACTCCTTTTCTTTGAAAACGAAGTACCTGAAACCAAAACTGAAAACCGTAAGCAAGAAGCTTAGTGAGTTCCCCCATCATACCACATACCATGCAACACATATATTGCCAAGCATATTCGGGTGCTGGCCTACCCCCTGCGGTATCATTCAACGGGTATCTGGGGACTGTTCCCCCTATCAATACCACGTAATAACATAGAATAACATACATAAATATATTGTCAGGCATATCTGGGTGCCCGACCTACCCCTTCGGTATCTTTCAAAAGGTATCCGGGAGCTAACCTCCCCTTCGGTATCTTTCAACCGGTAATCGGGAGCTAACCTCCCCTTCAGTTTCTTTCAACCGGTAACCGGGAGCTAACCTTCCATTCGGTATCTTTCAACAGGTAATCGGGAGCTAACCTCCCCTTCGGTATCTTTCAACCGGTAACCGGCGACTATTTCACCCCTACCACTACCACATAATAACATAACATATGTACTGCTAGGCATGCATGGGTTCTGACTACCCCTTCGGTATCTTTCAACCGGTATCCGGGGACTATTTCACCCCTACTACTACTAGCATGTATATAAGAGAGTATCCTAGCACATCAAGCATATCAGATAGTAGCAAACCATGCAAATATCACAAAGACAGTCATCTAACAAATATCTCCTACTAGTGGCCGGCATTGTGGCCTTAGACCCACCGCTACTGGAAGGTAACTCACCTCACATTGCTGTAGTCCCGAAGACACAATCCCAACTGCTGGTTGACAGATTCTCAAACTGTCAATATCAAACATCACCCAATTAATAATTTGGGACCCAACACAAAAATCATAAGTCCATGCTTGGGGTAAAAGACTACTTTACCCCCATCTTAGCTTGATTCAAGCTCAAGGCCCAATCGAAAGGCCCAAAGGTCAATCTGTGAATCAAGGTCCAACATATGGCCCAATTTTCCAAATTGGGCCCAAACCTTTACATGGTCTCACTCTAAGGGCCAACCATTTTATGCAATCCAACCTTCGATATTCTACTAGCCCAATATCATATAATCATTAAGGCCCAAACTATGACCCATCTATGGCCCAATTTTCCAAATTGGGCCCAACTCCTCATATGGGCCTTACCTCAAAGCCCATTAATTATTCTAGTCCATTTGCTTGATCTTGGATGGCCCATTAATAACCCAATCATCAAGGCCCAATAGAAAGGCCCAACAATAAACCCAAGTGAAATTAGGGTTTCACATAAAAGGACGATTAGGGTTAAGTGTTTCTCACTTAACCCATTAAGGACTTAATCCATTAAGTCCATCACTCTTCTAAATAACTCATATGGTGTGATTGGGCATAATACACACTTCCATTCCAATGGCCCAAATGTGGGTCCCGATAAGTCCAAGCCCATAAATCCAATATTAGGGTTTTCTAAACCCTAATTAGGGTTTCCAACCCCATCTTAGCCCAATAGGCCCAATAGCTAGGTATTTTGATCAATTAGAGTTCATTAGGCCCATTAGTCACATGTTTGGGCTTTTAGGTCCATTAGGGATTTATTAGGCCCACTAGGGTTTATTAGGCCCATGTCCAAACATTCCAAACTAGTCACAATCCAAACAAGGCACACCGCCACCCGATACGGTGGCCGGTGGCGGCAGCCACCACCCTACGGTGGTGGTTTGAGTTTCCTTTTTCATTATTCCATCACGATTACAGTTTAAAACGCAAAAATACAAAAATAACACACACTACAAACATAATCATGCGCACATTAATATAAACATACACACACAGCCACCCTTGTGGTGGTCGGTGGTGGTACATGGCGCCAACCACCATGGCTGGCAGCCATGGTGGATATCTATTCCGTTTTCCGGCCATCAACACCGTCTACAACCCATATACGTGATTCTGATTTGTTCAAAGGGATTAGCCACCCACCTGGTGGCTTACGGCAATGGCAGGCACCACCTTATAGTGGTGGCGGTGGTCAGTCCTATGCAACGGACCTGTGACGACGCAACAGGAACGAGCGAGGTGGCGGCGACACCTTCACGAGTCGGTTACGCCTCCGGCAACCACGCCGCGAAGGCACTCATCATCAAGGCAGCAAGCGGCGGCCTTGTCGTCATCGAAGGGCAGCAGCAGCAGCGCACACATGGCGGTGGTTACGACTTCCATTGGCGGTTGGGTTGCTCGTGACTGGATGACGACTGGGCAACTCCGATGATGGCGGCTGTCGAAAGTGAAGAAGGAGGACGATGGAGGAGCAACGGTAATGGCGGATGAGGTTCGGTGTCTCACAGCAGCAATCAATCCTCCGACAGGCGTGCTCTCATTCCGACGTAGGGAGGATGGGCTCCGACGACTGGCTTGCGACCTCGACACGGTGGTAGCGGCACCAGAAAAATAGAAGAATGGAAGGTGGCGGCTGGTTTATCAATTAGGGTTAGGGTTTAGTATGGTATGGGTTATATATGGAGGCTGCACACATGAGGGTGACGGGTTCACCCGTGTTTCACAAACTTCTGGCCATTTTGCCAATAACGGCCCCTTCCACAAGATTTTTTTTCCAATTTAAACCTAAATTTTACCTTTTAGCCCCCAGCTTCCTAAAATCCTTACAATTTAAATCCAGAATTAACTCCCTTTGGCCCTTGCTTCCATAATTCCTTCCATATTAAGTCCTAGTAATTACCAAGCATACCCCTACTTCTAAAATCCTTTCATACTAGGTCCAATACTTACAAAATACCCATTATCTTCTAAAAATCTTTACAAATAAGTCCCGAAATTACACTTTATCCCCTGAATAATCCAAATTATAGCTTTTAGCTCCTAAAACCAACGCCCTACTAAATACTATGCATTTTAAGGCCAGGGTTCATTTATTAATCTTTATCTATTTATTTACATAATAAACGGGGTGTTACATGAGGATACGTATGTTTCATTTGATCCTCCCGCTCCCAAGTGAATTCAGGTCCCTGTTTTGCATTCCAGCGAACCTTCACTATCGGGATACAGCTTTATTTTGTTTGCTTGACTTCCGTATCCATGATTTCTACTGGTTCTTCCACAAAGTTAAGGCTTTCATTGTCTCGGTTTCATCGAGTAGGATACAAGAGTCTCATCAGATAGACACTTCTTTAGGTTCAATACGTGAAAGCTAGGGTGTACGTTTCTAAGTTCTTGAGGTAGTCGGAATTTGTAATCTACAGGGCCGATTCTAGCGAGAATCTCGAAAGGCCCAATCTACCTTGGATTTAGCTTACCACGCTTTCCGAAGCGTATCAAGACCTTCCAAGGTGAGACCTTCATTAGAACGAGGTCACCAACCTGAAATTCCAAAGGTTTCCGTCTTTTGTCAGCGTAGCTTTTTTGTCGGTCTCTAGAGGCTTTCAATCGTTCACGAATCTGAACAATCTTCTCTGTCGTTTCCCGAATGATTTCCGGACCCGTGAGAGTGCTGTCAGGAACTTGTCCTTTAGCTAGTTGTGTGTCACCCACCTCAGCCCATCACAGAAGGGATCTGCACTTCCGGCCATAGAGGGCTTTAAATGGAGAAACTTTGATACTAGAATGGTAGTTGTTGTTGTATGAAAACTAGACCAATGGAAAATGGATATCCCATGCTTTACCAAACTCGATCACACAATCTCTCAGCATGTCTTCCAACATTTGTATCATCCTCTCACTCTGTCCATCAATTTGTGGGTGGTAGGCTGTACTCATATTCAGCCTAGTTCCCAGATATTTTTGTAGTGACTGCCAGAATCTTGAGGTGAATCTACTGTCTCTATCGGAGATGATAGATATGGTAACACCATGCAATCGTACAATCTCCCTAATGTATGTTCTTCTCAGTTTCTCCATCTTGTCGGTTTCTTTGATTGGGAGGAAGTGTGCGGACTTAGTTAATCTGTCTACGATCACCCAAATGGTATCGAGACCACCTGTGATCTTGAACAACTTGGTTATGAAGTCCATTGTAATCCGCTCCCACTTCCACTAAGGTATCTTCGGTTGTTGTAGTAAACCTTAGGGCTTCTGGTATTCGACCTTAACCTTGGCACAAGTAAGACACTTGCCCACGAAGGTAGCAATCTCTGCTTTCATGTTACGCCACCAATATAACTTTTTGAGATCCAGATACATCTTATTTAAACCTAGATGAACGGAATATCGAGTATTGTGCGCTTCGTTCATGACAACATCTCTGAAACCACCGAGTTTCGGTGTCCAGATCCAATCCATGAGGTATAAGATTCTGTCACCCTTGACTTCCAAGTTCTTATCCATCCCTCTTAGGGTTTCACCTGCCACATTTTTAGGTTTCAAGGCTTCTATTTGAGCCTCCTTAATTTGTGTGGACAGATGTGAATGGATGGTTATAGTCAATGCGTTGACTCTACGACCTGGGTATTCTTTCCGACTTAGGGAGTCAGCTACTACATTGGCTTTACCGAGATGATAACGAATTTCACATTTGTAGTCATTTATGAGCTCGACCCACCATCGTTGTCTCACGTTGAGCTCCTTCTGATCGAATATATGTTGAAGGCTTTTGTGGTCTGTAAGATAGTGCTTTTCGTACCATACAGGTAGTGTCTCCAGATCTTCAGAGCAAATACCACTGCTCCTAACTCAAGATCATGTGTAGTGTATTTGACTTCGTGTGTCTTAAGCTGTCTTGAGGCATAGGCGATAACCTTTCCTCGTTGCATAAGAACACAGCCAAGCCCTTGGTTGGATGCATCACAGTATACCACAAAATCTTCTATCCCTTCTGGGAGGGATAATATTGGCGCGCTGCATAAGGGTTGCTTAAGCGTTTGGAACACCTTTTCTTGATTGTCTTCCCAGTCAAAGGTCACACCTTTCTAGGTCAATGTGGTAAGTGGTTTTGCAATCTTTGAAAAGTTTTGAATGAATCTGCGATAGTAGCCAGCGAGACCTAAAAATTGGCGAATTTCCGTAGGCGTCGTTGGTGCTGACCAGTTCTCAATGGCCTTGATTTTTGAAGGATCCACATGAATTCCCTCTTTGCTAACCACATGACCCAAGAATTTGACTCTTCGAATCCAAAATTCGCACTTAGAGAACTTCACATAAAGTTTCTCTACTCGTAGTGTTTCTAGGATTTTTCGTAAGTGTTGACTATGTTCCTCCTTACTGCGTGAATAGATAAGTATGTCATCTATGAACACTATCACAAACTTATCTAAGTAAGGACGGTACACCCGGTTCATTAAGTCCATGAACACGGCGGGCGCATTGGTCAATCCGAAAGGCATCACTACAAACTCGTAGTGGGCATAAAGAGTTCGGAAGGCTGTCTTGGGAACATCTTCCTCTAAAAATCGTAACTGGTGATACCCGGATCTTAAGTCAATTTTTGAAAAATAGCTTGATCCTTGAAGTTGATCGAACAAGTCGTCTATCCGTGGTAGAGGGTATCAGTTCTTAATGGTAAGTTTGTTTAGCTCTCTATAGTCGATGGACATACGGAACGATCCGTCTTTCTTCTTCAGAATCAAGACCGGTGCTCCCCAGGGTGAGAAGCTTGGTCTTATAAATCCCTTGCTTATCAGTTTGTTCAGTAGACTGGATAGTTCCTGTATCTCAGTTGGTGGTAGTGGATAAGGCGATTTGGCTATGGGTAGCTCGTGGAATTAAGTCGATTCTGAATTCAACTTGATGTTGTGGTGGCAATCCTAGAAGTTCTTCGGGAAAGTCACAGACTTCTAGGATGTTCTTTATGTCATTCGCCTTTTGGTTTAAGTCAACCACGTGAGCAAGGAACGCATGATATTCTTTTCGTAATTACTTCAGGGCTTGAATACTTGAGATGATTTGAAGGTTCGTACATGGTTTTTCGCCGTGGATAACTAGGGTTTCGCTATTCGGTAGATTAAGACGAACGACTTTCTCAAAACACATGATGTCAGCACGATGAAGACTCAACCAAACCATGCCGATAATGACGTCGAAACTTTTAATTGAGACAGATTTGAGATGAATAGCTATCAAGAGAGAGGGTACATCCTATGTATATATCGTTAGTTCTCCCAGTCTTCCCGTTAGCCATTTCTATGGTGAACGTTTCTTTTAGTGCTTGTGGTTGTTGTTTAAGTAAGTGTGCAAATTTTTGGTTCACAAAACTCCTCTCCGCTCCACTATCAAATAATATGCATGCATAAGAGTTATCAAGGAGAAACGTACCCGTGACCACTATAGGGTCTGCCACAGCTTCCTCGTGGCCAATCGCCAAAACTCTGCCCACTCCGCCAGTATTCCCTGTCTTTGGGCAGTTCCGTTTGAAGTGCCCAACTTCACCGCACCCGTAGCAGGTTTGGCCTGCTCCAGTACCAGGGACCTGGGAGATTGGTCTTGCTGGTGCCTTATAGAAACGGGCAGTGTGTCCCTTCCTGTTGCAGTTAGCACAGTCATCTCCCGGCAGGGTCCATTATGATGGAAGTTGCATTTGCTGCATTTTGGCAGACTCCCATCGTACTGCTTTACTAGTGCAGGGACAACAGTGGTTGTTGCGGCATGAGTAGCCACAATCTGTTGTTTCTTGGCAGAGTTTCGCGCCGATTGGTTCTTTTTTTTATCCCAAAACTTCCTCATGTTGTCGTTTCCTTTCGTTGGTTCTGGGAAAGCAGGGGTAGTTGCCTAAGGACAGACCCCATGGTCAATGAGTCGCTGTGCCAATCGCTTGGCACTGTCGAATGTATAGGAGTTCGAAGACAACACGTTCCCCAGAAATGGAGGTACCAGTCCCCAAATGTACCTCTCCATCTTCTTGGTCTCCGTGGGGACCATCCCCAGACATAGAGACACCAGATCACTGAACCTAGCTGTGTAGGCTACTATGTCAGAGCCTTTCATGGTCAGGCTCCAAAGTTCCTGCTCGATTTTTTGAACTTCGCCCCTCGGCCAGTATTCTCCTACCATCAAATCTTTCAGTGCTTCCCAGCCCATCGAGTTAGCCACTATGAGATTAAGTGACTTAACATGGCCATTCCACCATGTGAGGGCCCTGTCTGAGAAGGTGCAGACAACAAATTTTACTTTGTTTCCTTCTGGGCAGGAGCATAACTCGAAGATAGACTCTGTTTTATCAAACCAATGTGATAGAGCAATGATTCCACCGCTAACGTTAAAGGCTTTGGGTTTGCAGTTGGTGAAGTCTTTGTATGAACACTCTCTAGGGTGCCCGTGACTATCACATTGGGTAGAGTTAACACCCGTTCCACCTCCGCTAGCACCGCTAGCGTTGACATGAGCTAAGGCTGCCATTACAGCCGTGGTCACTGCAACTAGAAAAACTACAGGATCGAATTGTGGAGGAGGTGGTGGTTGAGTTGGAGTTATTGGGGTAGTGCGTCTGTTTGATCTACAAGGAGGCATCTTTCAACTGTAAGTTTACAAAGACGAAGGTAATTCTAAGATGTCAATAGTGAGAACAATGAGAGTGTTCCTTGAACTAATTCACCATAGTTCAACATGTAATTGTTTGAGTGTTTGCAATAGAGATCTACCATTAGAAAGTTGAAAGAGTTTGATTAAAGATTTTTCCAAGAGAATCGATGCCTGTGAACATCATTGGTATTATAGATGTATAGAGTTCACGAAAATTCGACCATGTAATAGGTCTACAACCTACCAATACAGATAAAACTTTGACAGCATATAGACCTAACGAAACTGAGAGTTCAAGGTCTAAACATAAACAGGAAAATAACACTAGAGT